GTGTGTATAAGTGTGTATGGATATATGTGTATGTATCTATATGTGCATATATGTGTGTATGTGTTTCTTTGCAGTCATTTGCACATCTTTTGGTTTTCACAGCCCTTCCAGTTTTATTCGATGACCTTCTTACTAAGCAGTCTTTTCCTGAAGGCTCAATCCCCAGCACTCAGAGGAGGAGAAAACAGTCTGCTGTAACAGCAGGAAATAAAAATGCACCTACAGTCAAACAAAAGCCACTAATAATCATCAATGACTGTAAAACACAAAGTGACAAAACTAATGTAGACTGCTGTGGAGTGAAAGCGTATTTAGTACAGATTCAAAAGTGAGGGGATGAGGTGGAGGAAGTGTGGAGATGGGACAGTGGAGGAAAGGTGTGCGCAGAGGAAAGGAAGAAGGAACATGGAGGAGAGCGAGCGCTATGGAAGGAAGAGGGAGGAGCGAGATGCTGAAAGTAGGAATGGAAACCGGTAGACAGATTCCCGGTACCAAGCAAGTGCACACACCATATTGGATAAATGTTAGGAAGTGAAGTAAAAAAATAAAATAAAGTATGGTTTTGTTTTCTTTAAAAAAAAAAAAGTGTTGCTTAAAGAAAGAGGAAGGAAGAGCAGCTCTGAAGGCAGAAAATAAAGGGAAAAGTGTGTGTCCGTCATGAAAAGTGCATAAACGAGGCTGGACGACTGAAGGAAGCAGAAGACAGAAACGTACTTTTTTAATATGATGAAGTAAAAACTGCTGCTGAATGTGTAGCAGCAGGTAAAAGTAAGGGACAAAAAGACGTTCTTTGTGGATCCTCAGCTTCCTGCACAGTGGGAGGAGTCAGTTGTCTGTCCTGTGGTTGATACATAGTAGAGAAGTTTCTGACGCATCCCTGTGGGTACCAGAGGTCTCTGCTGACCACATTAGCTCTGCAGTCTGAAGGCTGGGCAGGCGCTCACCTTCTGAGGATCCCTTCCATCGTACCCCCAGCTGTTGATGGTCTGCTGGGGTTTGCGGGGGCGGGAGGGGTGCTTTTAGTCATGCCAGGAGCCCCACAGCACAGAGAGCTGACAGCAGGCCTGTCTGTACTCTGAAGACCTCCTGAGTGTTCAGCCCCTCCTGAAGGGATTCAGCTGCGGGTAGGTAGCCTGTTGGAGCTTCCACCCCTACAGCAGCGAATCGCAAAGGTGCCTCAGGAGTTGGTCCACATGCTGACCTGGGGCTCAGGGATATCAGAGCCCAGAGTTATTCTCAGTGGATGACGTCTGTCCCCACTGCAGTGATGGGAACCACCTCTCCTTACACATGCTCCTGCCTGAGCGCACTGTTCAGCTGCACATGGTGCCTGGCCTGCCCACTCTCCACAGCTGCCTCCCAGAGCTGGCTTACACCTGGGGCTGTGGCAGGGTAAAGTCAGTGCTGTGGCTTCTGGTTGTTCCCTCTTCCTGGGCCCCCAGGGTAGATTGGTTTTAACAGTAGGTTCCCTCAGGATGATGCCCTACCTCTGCCCTCCTAGCTGTAGAGTGACAGGATAGGATTCCTCTCCAGAGCTGACCCACTGGAGGCTTGCAAGTGCCCTGGGCTTGTCCTGGGGTCAGAGCTGCATATGCCTTCTCACCAGGGCTGACTTCCCTTTTGATGAGGCTCCTGCTCCACCCCCAGCACTGGCCCTGTGATTGACATGGCTTGACTCTGTTCTTCCTCTGCACTCTCCAGGTAGCCTGGTGTTTCCTTTGTGGGTTTCCAAAGCTCATCCTCTCTCTTTATCTTTGAAAGAAAATCGTTTTTGTTTTCTTTTTTTTCCTGACCCTTCTTAACCAAGTCACAGGAAGGCAGCTGCTAATATAGCATTTTACCCAGAAGACTAAGATATGTATTTTTTCCATTGGTTCCACTTGTTTGATAATTTCATGCCTATATGTAGTACATTCAGCCCCCACCCCCAGCCCATTCTCCTCTCTCAACCCCTCCACCGCCCCTTCACATTCCTGTCTTTCTGTTTTGGAGAACTGTGTTCTTAAACAGCAGAAAAGCACATTTCATTTATTTTTGCAAAAATCAAAACTCCTCATTTTAAAATCTTTTAAATTAGTAATCATCTAGTTTTGGAAAATGTGTTGGTATATCTTTAATGACATATAGAACAAAACACAGTATCACTGTGACTGTACACAGAAGGTAGTTAGGATATGAATGCGCAGTTCCGGGGTGATTAGGCATAGTCATCCTGCCAGCACACCCTAGTATGTGTAATTCATGTACCTATTGGACAGCTAAAATACTGTTTTACTGGTTTTACTGACATTCTCTCTTCTTCTGTACAATGCTTAATCCCTTAATAAAAATTTCACAGCTTTTATTTTTTCTACATAGAATTGTTTTTGAAACATATACATAAGGAACTGTACGATTTTAATATTCACATCTGTGGCAACATTCATACTGGGAGAATCTGTAGCACATATTTCTTTAGAATCTACTTTTACTTCCCAAACTCTATTGCCAGTAAATTATAGCAACTGTTGTAAAAATACTACTATGAGAAAATCATGCTCATCATCTTCATCCTCTAAAACTAAGAAAAGCCAGGGTGGTAGACTAGGAGTAATAAACATTCTTGTCAAGGAAGCCTGATGACCCTGTCCTGTCCTCGAACTGCTGCTTCTGTAGAAGTCACAGTGGCCCCTGTACTGTGAGAAGGAAGCACCTCCCTGCAGCTGCCAGCCAGAGGCTCCTGCCGTGTCTTCTCCAGCCTTGAAGCCGTGTGACCATAACACACTTAAAAATAATGTAACCTGGGTTTGCTCTAGACACAGATTTTGAGAATAGAATGTGTAGACTTAAGATAAGTGTAATTATAAATGGAAACCTTTTCCTTAAAGGCTCATCATTTGTCCTCAGAAATGCATTATAAGGAAATGGTGTAATCACATTGTCTAAATTTGATGCACCCCAAACTGCCACATTTGCTGGGGGTTACCACTCTTTTGCCCTTTAATTACCAAAACTCTTGCTTTTTTTTTTTCTCTTACTAAGTTTACATTTTGGAGTTTAAAAAAAAAACATGGATTTGAGTTTTAGCACTGCCTCTTATCTGACTTCTGGGAAGTTTCAGAAATTCAGTTTGAGACTCCAACATGGAAATATGTGATAGAGCACATTGTAAACTCTGATGTTCTAAACGTGTTACTGTTTTAGTTGCATTTCTCCCACTGTTTCTGAATTCAATAAATAGAAACACCAGACCCTGGAGGCAGTTGGTACGTGCATGCATGGCAGCTTCCAATTGTTCTAGAGGTGAGGGAAGGTAGGCCAGGAGGGCTGAGACCTTGTGAGATGTATTGCTCTCTGGATTGGAACCCTTGAAGTCCCCTGGGTATCAGGCTGGTGTTCTTTCTACCTGTATTCTGCTAAGTTTGTAGTCATTCCTTGTAAGTTTCTGACTTTACTATTTACTTTCTGGCTATTACTGTTTACTGTTTATCTTTGAGGAACTTTGACTGCTGTGATTTTCTTCCTTACTGGAAGAGTGATGCTGTCTGCCCCCACTGCTGAAGACAGTACGGGCTTAGACCCAGGGACAGTGTGAACACCTGATTGTAGTATACGTTGAAGAATGCTCTAGGGGCAAGACAATTCTTCCCAGTGGTTTAGTGTTGACTAACGTAGTCATGCTTAAGTGTAAGAAAGACCTCGAAGGTGAAATGGAAATAATGCATTGCACTTGAATTTTTTCAATAAATAATTACACTGGCTATCTAACCATATAAAAAGATGTGGAGAACTGTGCCTAGCATACACAAGACCCTGGGTTCAATCCCTGCTATCCCATAAACCAAGCATGGTGGCACACACCTTTAATCTTAGCATGTAAGAAGTGGGCAAGGAGGATCAGAAGTTCAAGTTCTTCCTTAGCTGCACAGAGGCCAGACTGGGTTAGAGAGTCTTAATCAAACAAAGAGAGAAAAAGAGAGAGACAGAGACAGAATTTTGTTGCCTTGATTTAGTACCAGTACAAATCCCTAAATGTAGATTATTACATCTAAGTACACAACATGATCGTGGGCATGGTGGCATATACCTTTAATTCTAGCACTCGGGTGGCAGAGTCAGGCAGATCTCTTTGAGCTCAAGGCCAGCCTGGTCTGCATAGTGAGTTCTAGGCCAGGTGGGGATACAGGGAGACACTGTCTCAAAAAACAAACTAAATAAAGTTTTTAAAATTAGTATATAGCATAATCAAATAAATGACTGACACCTCCTGTGTGCATCTCATCAGCGTACAAGATTCGTATTTCATATTTTAAACCATGAACTATCTAGTCAGAGTGAGCATATTCCCACAGTAGTGGGAATTATTATAAAACTATAAATATGCCAAGTGAAGACTCTCCTTTAGGAAACCCGGGTAGAGACAAAGTTACAAGATTTGAGGTTGCAAGGACAGCATCATCTTGATCCACTTCAGCTTGAAGCTATCATAACATAAAATACAGAGGCAGTCTGTAAAATATTGTAATAAAAATTATGTCTTGAGTGTTAGAGCCTATAGACTCTAACTTCTGCAGGATGGGAAGGTGTATTTTTCCTAATGCTAGATGGGAATGTGAGAAACAGCAGCCATTTAAAAGTTACTGATAGGTGCCTTTTGCCATTGGGAGTCTCAGAGTTTTTAAATGATCTTTTTTTTTCTAAATTTAATGAAGATTATTTTTATCTATACCTAGAACTAATGTTAAAAAGTCTCTGATCAACATATAGACTTTGTTAGAAGCCCAGTGACCCTCTTTCATAATATGCAGTTGAGCATCCTCACTGATGAAGTGAGAGTGTATTGTGATTTTTATCAATAATGTGCAAATAAACAGGGTTAAAACGTGAAAAGAATAATGATTTTTTACTTATATTTCCAGAAATATTAACCAGAAGTTAGAAAAGCACATTGTAAGCACATCAACGTAAAGTTCTATGAAAGTCGGTCCCAAAATGAAGGTTTTAAAAATTGTCTTTTACAGAATACCAGGAAAAACCTACATGATAATAGCTTTTCTAACTGTGGGTACTATGGGGTTATCAAACACTTCCTTGGGCTACCTGAATTATCCCACCCAAGTCATCTTCAAATGCTGCAAATTGATCCCCGTTATGCTAGGAGGAGTTTTCATTCAAGGTATAGTAATGATATATTCTTCTACTGTTTGAACCACACAAGTATGGTATGGCATCTGGCATTAGGAAAAATGTTAAATGTCAACACTATCTTTAATGAACATTCTGGATATTGTAACAATACAACATCTTATTTTTAAAAAAAATAGGGTATTGTAAAAACTGGTATTTCTCTAATGTACTGTAGTGTTTGAGGTCCGTAATTTGGACTTAGGGGGGAAAAAAACAGTGTTTTTATTTGTCTTGGGATTTAATACTTCTAGCAATGCTGTATTCACATATTGAAGTCCTGATTCAAAAGTGCCTGGATAGGTGTCTTTTCAATTCTGATTCATCCACACCTCAGGGCCCCAAACTTCCTCCACTGCACCACTAGTCAGCAGCTGTCATATTGGAACAGAGCTAAGTCTGAGCTGAGCCACTTCTGACTCGCTGATGGAGAGCACCGCCCCTAGGTGATGAGCTGTGTGAAACAGTGGAGAGGAGGCAGTTACAGCACAAGTGTGCAGGAGCCCTTCCTCTCCCCTCCCACGAGCACGCTCCTGTTTCCATACTCCAGTGTTTCCCATCACAGCAGGTCTTATACAGCCTGATCTCAAACATTAGCTGCCTTTCCAGAATTAACCTTTGAAAGTAGAAATGTGTCAGCAACCTCCTTTACCATTTCTGGTTGATGGTCCATGTAGCAAAAATCCTGCATTCCCTGTTAAATATTCTAAATAGGTACATCTCTTTCCTTATAATCTTTACCCAAAGTTATAACACATTCCAGTTTCTAAATAGGGGTATGGTAGAATAATTTCATTCTCCCCGATCTAGCAGTTTTGGTGTTTCATGTAGCCAGAAGCAGTACTGTTGTCTCCTTGGTAAACTTACAAAGTACAGGAAAATCTGCAGCCTTTTATTCGTATATAAAAGTACTAATTTCATAATTTATTAAAATTTTTTGTGGATGCATTTTACTTTTGTCATTTTTTTAAAAAATCAAAATATAATCACGCACTGTATAATGATTCAGGCACCAGGGGACCACATGTATGAAGGGGTCCCATGAGATGACATTGCTAGGTGACATCACAGTTGCCTTAGTCTATGTAAGTGCATTCTGTGATGTCACGTAGTATTGGAATCTTAAGATGTCTTTCTTTGAACACAGGCTCGCCGTTAAGCAATGCATGTTTATATTTTTTTCTGTCATAACAAAATAAGATCTCATTTCTATCTTAAAAGAGCATGTGGCCCTGGTAATTTAAGGTTAAACCCTCTGGGATTGTCTCATGCTGTGATCTAAGTGTTCTCTGTATTTCGGACAGCGGACATTAGGGACAAATCTCTGAGGTATAGGGATCTGACTGTAGGCTGGGTGAATATTAGCATAATGAGGTGGGCTTCCTTCCTGTTCTCTAGGAAAGCGATACAACATTGCAGATGTGTCAGCTGCGGTGTGTATGAGTCTTGGCCTGATCTGGTTTACCCTGGCTGACAGCACAATTGCACCAAACTTCAATCTGACAGGTGAGGAATTTATCTGTATTCCTAAAGAGTATAGGCATTTTAGTTTGAATAAGAAGTTCTCAAATTTCATTAGGAGTTTGAATGATAGTATGACATCTGAATCTCATATCTGACAAGACTTTCAAACTTTGCATTTAACTTGTAGTAAAAATCTGACAACTCTAGAGATGTGTCATGATTTTAGTGCACGACAGGAGGCTGTCGAGTTGTAGGGAAGTCACAGTAGTGAAACATTATACTGTTCTTTAACATTAAAGGTGGATAGTATAAACATACTACTAGATGACACTTAAGCTTTAGTCATGTGCTATGTTAAGTTTTGTCAGTTGTATTTAGATTTTTCCAAAGCAGAATAAGTATTAAAGCACATTTAGGGGATAAGAAGAAGCATCAGAATCCCATTTTTATCTTAATGACCATTCATAGAATGGAAATGTTTCCATGACCTCTTTCTCTGGCTCTTTGGGTTTTGGTATATAAAACAGCTACCGATTTTATGAGTTGGTTTTGTATCCTGTCACTTTGCTGAAAGTTTTGATTATTTCTAGAAGTTTTCTGGTGGAATTTTTTGGATCTTTTACGTATGATATCATCTGCAAATATGGATAATTTGATTTCTTCTTTTCCAATTAGTACCCCTTTAATTTCCTTCTCTTGTCCTATTGCTCTAACTAGGGTTTCAAGCACTATATTGAAAAGGAGTGTGGGGTAGTGGACAGCCCTCTCTCATTCCTGCTTTTAATGGGAATGCTTTGACTTTTTCTCCATTTAGAGTGATGGCTGTGGCTTGTCCTCTTTAGCCTGAATTATGTTGAGGTATGTTCCCTCTAGTCTTGTTCCTTCTAGGACTGTTATGAAGGCATATTGGATTTTGTCAAAGACCTTTTCTACATCTATTGAGACTATCGTGTGATTCTTTTCTAAGTCTGTTTATATGATTTATTACATTTATTAATGTACATATGTTGAACAATCCCTGCATCTCTGGAATAAAGCCAGCCTGATTATGGTGGGTGATCTTTTTAATACATGCCTGTGTGTGGTTTGAAAATAATTTAACTGAAAATATTTGCATCCCTGTTCATTGGGGATATTGGTCTATAGTTCTCTTTTGTTGTGGTGGAAGGGTTTTCCTATTAGGGAAATTCATGGAAAGAGTCTGGAAGTTCTCCCTCTGTTTCTGTCTTTTTGAATAATTTAAACTGTATTGATTGTAGTCCTTCTTTGAAAGTCTGGTAGAGTTTTTCCATGAATCCCAGCTGGACCTGAGGTATTTTTAATCAGAAAACTTTGTATTACTGTCAACCTCCTTATTTATTAAGAGTCTGTTTAAGTTGTTGATCTCTTCTTGGTTTACCTTTGGTGATTCTGTTGTATCTAGAAACACATCCATTTCTTTTAGGTTTTCTAATTTGATGGAGTATAGGTTTTTCAAGTATTCCCTGATCATGTTCTGGATTACTTTGGTGTCTGTTGTAATGGGTCCCTGTTCATCTCTGGTTTTGTTGATTTGGGTCTGTCCTCTCTTTCTGTTAGTTGGGCTAAGGATCTATCCATCTTGTTCTTCTTCTCTAACCAGAGCTTAGAGTATGTCTTTTCTTCTGAAAAGAGATTGGACATTTGAAATTATTACAACAGCATTCAGCTTCAAATATGAGTGAGAGTATATGGTTAAGTAATAAATGCCAAAGTTAGATGATTAAAAAGGCAAGTTGAAGAATAGTGTTGAAAATTCTTAATTGACTGAAGGACACACCTATGGAGATGCACTGTGACCCTTAATAACCATTAATATATTAAGACAGAAGAACACACAGGAATCCCATTGACTCAAGCAGAACTGCAGCTGCCCTTGCTAGAGAACTATGGGCTGGAGCGATGGATCAGTGGTTAAGAGCACTGACTGCTCTTGCAGAGGACCCAGGTTTTGTTCCCAGCACCCACGTGGCAGCTAACAACTGTCCATAACTCCAGTTCCAGGGGATCCAATGACCTCTTCTGGCCTCCATGGGCATTGCATGACAGGGGTGCACTTACGTACATGCAAAAACACTCATACACATAAAATAATTTTTAAGAATTAAGGGAACTGATAAAACTATGAAAAGTGTCTGCATTTGAGTTGTTTCCCGTGATCTGAAGTTGCAGGTGTGCTTTTCAATGAAAACAGCTTGAGAAATGTGGAGAATGTGAATTATGAGTGTCATTTATAGAAAAGAGGATGCATACATGACCTTGGTAGCTGCCTCCATGTTTCTGTGTATAGTAATGATTTTTTTATGTGTGATTTCCCTTGTAATGTTTTTTTCCCCCAAATAGCTGTGCAGCCATCAATCCTAGTATATCTTCTAAGAGTGTCTTCTACCTCACATGTTTAATATAGAATTTCCTTCCATCATGTAATCTAGACTAAAAGTAGAGCATTATTTGAGGTGATGCTAAAATACTTCTTATGACAGCATTAACGCATTCTATTAGCATCTGTTACCTTATTTGTTTTATGTCATCACCTGTGTACTTAATCACACCACGTTGTGGATAAGAATGCAGAGCGTTGCAGAGCAAATGAGATTGCAGGTCTGCTTTTGTTTTGTAGCACAGCTAGACTTCTGGTCTACCTTACTTCTTTCTAGTCCATCTGTTTAAATAAGTTTTTTTCTTTATTTCTTGGAGGTGTGATGCTTATCTCCCTGGCACTATGTGCAGATGCAGTCATTGGGAATGTTCAAGAGAAAGCCATGAAACTGCACAATGCTTCCAATTCTGAGATGGTGAGCGCCCTGGTGCTTTTCCTTCACATCTGATGATGGACTAAAAACGGCATGCCAAGCTTTAGGAAATGGCATACCAAAGACTGAGCTTGCATCTTCAACTGTGTTATCATATTGACAGACATTATAGGAAGGTTCAAAGACCAAAGTTACCACAGCTAACAGCTTATGTTATATTTGATCCAGCTTTTTTTCTCATTGATTTCTATAGTCTTTTATCTGCTAAAAACTATCCTTTGTGGCGTCACTTTCCATCCCTTTGTTCTGCCCTTTGTTACTTTCTATTTATAAATTATAACTTGTGTGTGTGTATATATATATAGTTTGTCTTACTGGCCCAACTTGTCTTTGCATTCGTAGCTTCTGGCCTTGTGATAAGAGGGCTTTTCCTGCTCTAAGATTTAAAAATTTTCACCCATGCTGTGTAGTAGTTTTATGATTTCCTTTTATTACTAACCTCCCCCCCCAAAAAAAAACCTAAAACCTAAGAGAAAAGCATCCCTTCCCTGTGCTGCCCATTTGTCCCACTCTGTTTGCTGAATGTCCACTTTCTCCTCCTGTTTAGTGCCTTCTTTATCGTAGCAGAATTGAAGTGTTTAGGATTGACTTCTGCCTCAGCCATAGAGCGTCATAGCTTCCTTCATCCCCTCATTAAGACTGGATACCACCATTCATTTTTCCAGAGTACCACCAGCAGTAGTTTTTCTTGGGTGTTCATACCCTCCACTAGTCAAGACCCCAGTGCTATGTGGTTGGTATGGCACTGAGTTGTGAGTTAATCTAGGAAGAAGAGCCTCTCTGCCCTTGATTTTCAGCCAAGACTAGAATATGACTTTCCTTTTATTCAGGTGTTAAATTTTATTTTTAATTATATGTGGAAGCCAGAGACATCAGATCCCCCTGGAACTGGAGTTCTAGGCAGTTGTGAACTGTCCAGTGTGGGTGCTGGGGACCAAACTCTGTAAGAGGAGATCAGTATACATGCTTTTTAAATTTTATTTTATTTTTAATTTTTTTTTAATTTTTGTTATTTTCCTAAGTGATACATCGTCAGTGAACCTCTACACATAGGATGAATGCATCTCTTAACTCTCAGCAGAGAAGGTCCCTCGTACAGCAGATGGTGATTGACACAGAAGCCCACAATTGGCCCATGTACAAGAGCAAGAGGCCGCAGTGTGCACTCTTAACCTCTGAGCCATCTCTCCAGCCCCCTCAAATGTTCTTTTTCAACATCTACTAGAATTCAAAATTTTCTTCCTATAAAAACAGTACATTTCTTATTGAAGTCATTGTTAGGTGTGCCTTTTTGCTGTGGCTGCTCTAAATAGTGTTTTTCTTCAATGGATCTTCTGATTTTATATAGGAATGTGTGTGTGTGTGTGTGTGTGTGTGTGTGTGTGTTGTGTGTGTGTGTGAGAGAGAGAGAGAGAGAGAGAGAGAGAGAGAGAGAGAGAATTTTATAACCAACCACTTTTCTGCTCAGAACACATTGCATTGAGGACATAAAAAAATACTTTTTTTACTGTTAGTTTCTCAACAGAATGGGACATCTTAAGTAAAATCTTAGTAACAGGAACTTGAATCCTGACCTGAAGTTTCTTGATCATTATAATCGTTATAGCTACACTTCCTGGGTGCAGTGACAATGGGATAGCCTCAGAGAACTGAGGAAGTACAGGTCATCTGGAAATGTACTGTAGTGATTAGGATGGCAGGCTTTAACCCAACCTCTGTTCATACCCTAGCCGTTACTAGCTCTCCTCTGGGGAAAAATTACTTAGAACCTCAAATTTCAGTTTCTTCATTTGGAAACCAGGCAATGAACATGGGATTAGGAACACCTGTCTTATAGGCTAGCCACGCGAAGTCAGGAGAAGTAACCCAGGACCAGAAATAGTGCAGGGCCTGGCCTGTAAGTAGGTATTTAAGTTAGAAGCTGCTGGTGATACTGTTTATGAGGATGGCAATTAACAGAGATAAGATAGTAGGGAAATTAATCAATAATTATTTTCATATCTTTTGCAAACTAATGTTGAGGGATTTTTCATGTTTAATAAGTAGATTTAAGTATTTTATTTTATTATTCTGTTTTTAGGATGATAAATTTAAAATCTGATTCAAATTCAGTGTTTAATCCAGGAAAGAAATAAGTAAAATGAAAATCTATGTGGAAGGTTCCATGGATTGTTGTTATAGACAAAAGGTACAGGCTTGGAAACCCGTAGACTCACTGGTCATTTCAGAAAGTTAGGTCATAGGGAAATGATAATGTGACTCTAAAAGTGTTTTGTTTGCAAAGTTAATTGAGTAGATTGCTTGTGCTATGTATTCAAGCACCTCTGTTTCCACTTTTGATATGGTAATGCTTTTTCCACTTTCCTTTTTTTGTCCTCCAGGTTTTATATTCCTACTCCATTGGTTTTGTATATATTTTGCTGGGGTTGATGTGTACTAGTGGACTGGGCCCTGCAGCAGCATTTTGTTCAAAGGTAAACACTAATTGCAGTTTTAAAAATAAACATCTTCCATTTAATTATTTTATCTAGTGGCTATTTTCCCAGTGGTTAAGAGTACTAGCTGCTCTTGCAGAGGACTCAGGTTCGACTCCCAGCACCCACATGGTGGCTAACAACCATCTGTAACTCCAGTTCCAGGGGATCTGGCACACCTCTTCTGGCTTCTCTGGCACTGCATGACACGGGCGCACTTACATACATCAGGCAAAACATTCATACACATAAAATAAAACTAACATATTTTTAAAATAATAATCATTTTCTCTACATTTTGTTTCCTTTGGTCCAAAAAAGGCTATTGTTGATAGACTTTGATAACTCCTGGATTACAGCATTGCAGATCAGGTTGATCTTTAAATTTTTCCATCCTTGCTGTACCTTGTAAGTTAATTTTTAAGCAATTCATAATGTAAAAATTGAGGATGTTTTATTTCATTAAATTAAAACTACATACTCTTTACGTGGCTACATTGTTGAATGGCTTATTATTGCTCAGGAGGCTGATTAAAATCTGGTCTGGTTTTCATTTGTGATACCTCAGGGTTTGCTTTGCATTTAACAGGCCGTTTTACTCGTTGCAGAATCCCGTTAGGACCTATGGCTACGCTTTCCTGTTCTCCCTCACTGGATACTTCGGAATCTCCTTTGTTCTGGCTTTGATTAAAATTTTTGGTGCGCTTCTTGCTGTGACAGGTAGGGAGCTGCTTAGCGTGTTCGTTAACATGATGCTGTGTCCACAGCTCCTACACTGAAAATGAAATTGACATTAGTATTTTTTCTGATACTGTTTTACAAAAGATAAGGGCAACACCGCTTCATTACAAAAGAATATTGTTATATTTTTCCAATGTATTCTTTGGTTTATAGTATTTTTAAATTTTCAAGAAAATGGTATTGGATCATAATTTCTTGTTTTGAAATTTTAAAAAGCCTTTTCTTTTTGTGGCACTGAGGATAGACTCAAAGGCCTCGTGCATGCTAGGCAACCACTGTACCACTGAGCAACATCTCCAGCCCTCAAGGTTTAATTTTTATGTCAAATATATACATAACATAATAACCTTTAAGTATAGTTAAAGAGTTTTCTGTCAAACTATGGTGGGATGAGAGGAAATGCTCTTCCTTCAGAGGAAATGCTTCTATACTTTTAATTTCTTGTGGAGAATTCCAGTTTTCTTACACTTAAAGTATGGCAGGCATATTTTGAACAACTCTTGCAGGCCTGTCACTTGTGCATTTCTAGTGCCAACCCCAGATCAGTTTGTCCCTTCACACCGTGTGTGCTAAACGCATCATGCCTTGTACAGGGACTTTGCTCTGGAGAACATACGTTTCATTTACGTGAAGCCTGTGTAGCAGAGGGAGCTGATGGCTGCATGTGCTGCGTCGCTGGCCAGAGCTGGAAGGTGCAGCACTTGCCTTGATGGTGTAGGCAGGATTTTCTCACTGTAGAAGCACAGGGGTAGGAATAAATGCAGCTCGTGCTGTTGGCCCTCCTTACAACAGACTCCATTTGAATAGTTTGTGTGTTAAGTCTCACCCCACACCTAAAAGGGCAGGGACCATTATTTTCTACTTTGCACATAGATACAAGTGAACATAAATGTGGGAAGGGGAAGTGGCTTGGATAGCTGCTGTGAGAATCAGGACTCTAAACGAGGCTGTCTGGCTCCAGAGCTCTTTCCTCCCCATTCCTTCTCAGCTGATGGTGTCTGACTCTGTGGCTGACCCTTGCTCTGCCTAATCATATCTTCCAGGGAAAGGCCTTTCCTATGGCTCCATCATACCATGGGCCGCTGCTGAGTTGCATTTCAGTCACACTTTGACACTGAATGCATTAATGTCCATTGCCTGCAAACCCGTCATGAATGCATTAATGTCCATTGCCTGCAAACCCGTCACCTCCATAGCACAGGAACCCTGGTTGGCCGGCTGGCTGGCTAATGGTAGCTGGCACCTTAATGATTCTGGCATGTAGAGAGCTATAAATATTTGTGGAATAAATTATTTCTAGAATATTGCCAACATAGTGAGGCACATTCTTAACCCTTTTTTTACCCTGCAGTGACAACAGGGAGAAAAGCAATGACCATCGTCCTCTCCTTTGTGTTCTTTGCTAAACCGTTCACATTTCAGTAAGTGCTTTTTTAATTACCCCGCTTCCCAATTTCAGATGTTCTATTTCGCATTTTCAGCTCTTATGCTTTTGCTTTGTGTTAATTTTGTGGTGATGTGTGTGATACCATCTTGTGCTCTACAAAAAAATCTTTTCATCTTGACTTTTTATCCAGAGCATCTTCTGCTGTTTTAGTAATCTGAGTAGTTTGTAATTTTGAACGAATCATTTTATATGCTTAAATTGCCTCACTATAGCCCAATGGAATGTGGCCTTATTTCCAGTGTGACAGGGTAGGGTGTATGTTCCAGCGTGACTGAGAGTGGGGTGTATGTTCCAGTGTGGCTATGACTGTATATGTATGTTCCAGTGTGACCGAGTGGAGTGTACGTTCCAGCGTGGCTGAGTATGACTGCATGTGTTTCCAGCGTGAGTGAGTGAAGCAGTTTGCACACTGTTGAACGATTGTCCCTTCCCTCATGCAAAATATAAATTACGTGTTTGCAGTTCATGCTTTTAAAAACTTTTTATGATCTCTTTCCATAATTCACAGTGGAGAAATACTCTGTAAGTTGTATCATAATGATTTAGTTTGTGGCTTTTTGTGAAAGTGTTTACTGGTCTTTTTACTGTCATGGATGTGTTTGAAATTACTTCATTTAAACTTACGTTGGTCAGTAGTTGTGGAACTTAAAACCAAAAGTTTACAAGTATATAATTTTAAATAAAACCAAAAAATAAATTTCCCTCAGTGTGTTACAGGTTATTTCTTGATCATAAATGACTTTTCTTTATGCTGGGATAAGCATCTTGTGGGGCTCACACCTCTGCAGAGTGTGCACCGCTGTGCTCCACCCAACTCAGACAACTCAGTGGAGTGCTGACCCGAATTCACAAACAGCCTTCAGTAGATTTAGGTATCCAGTGTTTTTGTATAGGCCTGAGACTTTGGAAAGGGGTGAGCTTCGAATATGCTACGATTATCCCCAAAGTTTAAATAACACTCTTTCTGTGCATATATTCAACAAAAAATATTTTTGAGAATTTCATACATATGTGCATTGTGGTTGAATTGAGTCCGCCCCCACATCTTCCTTCCAACTTCATAAACTTTTCTTTTAACCACTGAGTCTAGTTGGTGCTGTCAGTACATGCTTGGTGTAGGATACCCATGGGGTCATGGCAGCCTACCATGGCCACATCCTTGAGGAAAATTGACGCTTCCTCCACCAGCATCCATCAACTGCCAATAGCTCCTTAGGTGGAGGTGGGGTTTCATGAGCCCCTCCCCAAGCCAGTCACATAAAATTTCAATGATATTACTGTAAGTCTCTTATGGCAAGACTTCTTTGATTTAAGAGTTATTACAGACTGATCACCAAATGCTGTAATTAGCAATGTATTGTTACTTTGTTGATTTTAATCATCTTTTTTCTTCCTTTCTTTCCTTTAGGTATGTATGGTCTGGCTTACTAGTTGTCCTAGGCATATTTCTCAATGTTTACAGCAAAAATATGGATAAAATAAGACTACCATCGCTAAACAATCTGATGAATAAATTCGTGGAAGGGAAAAAGTCAAGGACATTGGCACAGAATGTATAGGCACTGGTTGATCCTATTTATAGTAAAATTTTAAGGGAATAATTATTAATTAACTTTCTAAAAGGATTGGGATAAAAACCAATGGATCTGAAGGCATGCTGTCCTCTGAGGATGGATTCACGTGAGGTGGTTTTATGGTATCAGACTTTTCAGAACACTCATTTGACTGACTTCTCAACCAATCAGGAGCTCACAGCTGGTACACCTTATGGTGAAACATCAGTGTGAAAGACTGCACATCTTAGCAGTGTCAGGAATTTCACTGGAGACGGACCATGTTGCAAGACAAATCGGAAATCTTTACATGTCAGACATTGATGTGTAGTAGAATGCGGTTTCGTTTTCATTCCATTTTGGTGGTGATATTTAAATTGCTTCTCTGTTCTAAGAGTAAATGGGTGATTTAAAGTTTAGAGAAGATAACATTCATTTATCAATAAAATTATCCAGTGATTTTTTTAAATAAAAGATGTTTTAATATAATTTGTTGTAGAGGAAAATGGAAATATGAATAAGCTTATCATGCACTTTAAAACCTGGGTTTTCTCTCATGTAAAAATATGCTGGGAAATAGCCTTAAATTTTATGAAGAGTGTAGATAGGGAGTAAAGTAGTCATCCTGCAGCAAGGGAAAGTTGCCTTCTGTTCACAGAGAAGTGTTAAAGTAATATTTTGGTCTGGGTTTAGTTTGATGTTTTGCTTTGCTTTTGTGTTTTTGTTGTTGGTCAGTGGGTTGCTTGGTTGGTTTGGGGGGGGGGTTCCAATTTTAGCATAATTTAATATGAACCGTTGTTTTAGTTTGTTTCTCCATTGTTGTGACAAAAAACTCTGACCAATACCAACTTGGAGAGGAAAGGGTTTATTCAGCTTACATCTCCCAGGTCATAGTTCATCAGGGAGCCCAAGGTAGGAACTCAGGCCAGGAGGTTGGTTGTTGTTTTGAGATAGGGTCTCTCATCGTACCCCAGGCTGATCTGGAACTCTGTATGTAGCTGAGGTCAACCTTGAGCTTGGATTCATCCCTCAACTTCACAAGTATTCCTGGTTTATACTAAGTGAAGTAATACAGATTCAGAAAAACAAATGACGTATGTTCTCCCTCGTATGTGGACCCTACCACCAAATCCTTGTAAGTGTGTATATATCCAGACATAACTACAGGAACCAGGATAATGAAAAGGAACAAGGGAGGTAAAGGGAAAGAAATAACCTGAGAGAAGTATAATAGGAGGCAGGTGTTACTAGGGAGAAATGGATAAAAATGGGGGGTGTTTAAATGGGAGGCGGGGAGAGGGTTATACAAGAAACCTTGGGAATAAAGGGAAAGAAAGAGCTCAAGAGAGGTGGGACCATAGAAGACTGGTATTATCAAGGGAGAAATGGGGAAAATGCGGACACTTTAAATGGGGAAGTCATGGTGGAAAGGTTAGACAGAGAGAAAGAGAGGAGAAATAATGCCTACCTAGTTTTAAAAAACTAGAGGGAATCATATTAGTCCAGCAACCTAAGGACAAATTTACATATACAATATCTCTACACAAGTCCAACTGTATAGCTAAAGGCTACATTACAAGAAACAGTGCCAGACAGGAGGAACCTTCCTTGGAGTTGTTGACCAGGGTGGTCCAGGAGACTCCCAAAATTACACAGGCTATTGCCACAGCCCTTGATTGTCTAACAGAATTTGAATGTAAGACCCTACTGATGAAGACAGAACATACTTCAGACACAGGATTTGGAGCAATGGACCTGGAACTGACCTGAAACCACTTCCCCTGAAGGCTAGCACTCCTAGCTTCGGAGAGCGCTATGAAAGTGCCAAGGGAAAACAATCAATTTTCCAACACCAGCTTCAAGACCAAATAACTACATCAATGGCCAGCACAGCATATGCCATTGGTGCAGTAGTGGCACTTTTATCTTGGGGGCAATCAACAGCTACCTAATTGGAATAAAAGCCCATTCAATGGGAGGAAATTCACATGTAGTACTGTAAACATAGCCAAATATACATGCCTAGAGAGATCTTAGAGAAAACCCAAGACTGTCACATCCCTAGACTAATGTAGTTTCTTAGTATGTGCAGAATATGTATCCTTTTATTTACAAATATCCCACTCACCACTCATCAAAGAAGCATCTTTTATACCAGACAGAGACTATTACCAAGTAACTGATCACACACAGACATTGTCTATGAATTGCCCAGGCCTAAGTGACACATCTACAGTGCAACCTCTACACCTAAGCTTCAGGGAACATAGAACAGGGATAAAGAGGATACTAATGAATCTCTCAATCGACATAAATGAAGCTTCCTCATGGAACAGAGGGCCAGGAACATGAAAGGTCACAAATGACCAAAGTGTAGAGATTAAGAGTCTGCAGAATGCTGGTCCTTGGACAGGACTCCTATATTAAACTTCACCCACCCAGGGCTCAAGGAGCATTGTGGAAGAGAGGGTGGAAAGATAGTATGAGCCAGGGTAGAGGTGCATGACCATATGGAAATAGAGCCCTACAAGTTCCTGGGACCCTGCGCATATGAATCTAAACTTTGTTTTAATTTAAGGAAAGTAGCATCTTAAGTTATTATAAAATGATCCTAATTTTTCTTAGAAAGATGAAATTTGATTTGAAGGGTTGAAGATGAAGTAAGATAAATTAAAGAAACACAAATAGATTTGGCAAACTTGGACAGCATTTTCTCACAGTCTATTCAGATTGCTATAATAAAATACAATATAGATAGTTTATATATGCTAAAGTTTCTTTCTGACAGTTCCGGATGCTAGAAAGTCCATGATCAAGGTGCTGCAAATCTGTTACCTGGCAAAAGCTGTGTTCTCTTCTGCAGATGGCATCTTCTAGCTGTGTCCTCGGGGAGGGGGGGGGGCTGAGTTCTAATCCCTTTCATGAGGGCTCCACCCCCTGGAATCACCTCCCAAAGACACATCCAACACTGCCACTGGGGAGTCAGAATTTCAACAGGTGAGTTGGCCTACATAAACATCCAGACCATAGCAACACTGATTGCGTAGTTTGGAGTCTAAACTTCTCCAGATTTGGACCTTTCTTTTCAGTAGTGATTTTAGGAATTACTTCATGCTCATGTGTACACACTCCCGTGGTGTGTGTGTGTGTGTGTGTGTGTGTGTGTAAAATATGTTAATCATTTTCAGCATAAATTTGACTAAAGGCCTTAGTATCTATGTCTTTGGTCATATATTTCCTGATCTCATCCTTCAAATTCCATTATATTTTATTGGATTCTTAACCTGTTCTTTGCTGTATGGATTCAGCATTGTTTGTGATCACAGAAGTCTTTTGTGTAAGAAATTCTGCTTAGATTTTATTCAGAAGAAACTGTGGTAAGGTAAATTTTCTTATCCTAAGTGAAAATTTCTAAATCCTAATCTATACTTCATTATACTGCCCTGAACCACTAAAACAGTAAGGATTTGTGCTTAAAACTCAAGTTAGTGGGCTAGAGAAATGACTCCACAGTTAAGAGCACTGGATGCTCTTTCAGAAGCCCCAAGTTCAGTTCCCAGCACCCAAATGATGGCTAACAACCATCCGAAATATAACTCCAATTCCAGGGGGTCCAGTGCCCTCTTCTGACCTCTACAGGCATTACACCACACGGGTGCACTTACATATATGCAGGCAATACACTCATCCTCATGAAATAAAAGTAATAAAATATTTTTTTAGTTCAAATTAACTTTCCCAATCCTTGATAAAATGTCCATTTGACTTATTGAGGAATTCTTTTGCTCCCATGCTTTTCCTAACAAACTGCCCTCTGCAGTTACCAGCTCATCATCCCACCCCAGATTTTAAAAGTCACTGTTTGCCAGTTCACCATTACACTCCACTTCTTTATTCCTCCTTCAGCTGAAGATAAACTTCACCTCACCTATTTGAATAAATAGTATAAACTAATATAACAAATTATACTAAGAAAGAAGACAATGTTAAATGTATGCTTTGGGCCAGATTTTGTAATACTGAATATTTCATCACAATTACTGAAATTGTAAGATAATTTCAAAATATTACAGTTGTAGATATTTATGTGTTTTCAGTGCCAGGGACTAGTATATGTAATCATTTGTCTTTCCCTTACTGGATCACTTGTGGTAAGTATCACCCTTAACATCACAGTAAGGCAGCTGTACAGAAGTGGCTAGCTAGAATGCCAGAGGTGTCTTTCAAGTCCTAGACTCTGATGGATGCTGTCTGCAGCATCTAAGCAGATGTGATCAGTCTTGTTCGCAGTTTTGAAGCTACCAGGTTTGAGGACCAGATTTAGTTCTTAGTAGCTCCAGATCACACCACTGCCATGACACCAGTGGTTTTCAAATCCCAGTGTTGTACTTCAAAGCATTTTTTTCTGTCCACTGTGCCTCACTATGAATGTTTAAGTACATCAGTAACTCACATTACTATTATAGGTGATATCACTGAAGTTGATGTACACCCCAAAATTATATGTTGAAATCCCTGTCCTCCAAAGCAATGATCTTAGGAAATTTACTGGATAATTGATATTCCAATTTTGCTATGTGACGTTCAGTTTTTTGGCGCAATACAGCAAAATAACAGCAGAAGAATCTTTCCAATTGCTGTAAATCATGTCATTCAGATTTGCCCTGCAAGTAAGCCAGGCAGGACAGAATTCTCATTAAGACCTTATCTATTAAGGAATTTCATTGGATATTAGCCCCATTTCCTGGGAGGGAGCCTCTAAATCTTTGAAATATCCTAACTGACAGAAGTGCTTGGTTTTTAAGGTGGGCCACTAGGGTTTTTCAGGGTGAGGCTGACCATGCTGCAAGGACCAGCAATGGGACTTTAAGATGCACCTCCAGAGAAAGAGGGAATCAGAAGATGAAGTTCAATCTCACGGCCAATATTTAATCCATCAATCATTGGGCCACACAGTCTCCAATAAAAACTCCCTGAGGGTTAGGAGAATCTGGTTTGTAAGGCACACAGTCATTTGAGTGATAGGTTCAGAGCATGGGGACTAATTGCTTGTGGCCCTCCCAAACCTCACCTTATAGGCTTGCTTGGTCAGGGTTTGTGTCCTTTACAAGTACACTTTCTTGAGTTTTGTGAATTGTTTAGTGAATTGAACCTGGGATCCCTGAATTTGGAGCCAGTAGATTGGAAGTGTGAAGGATCTGGGAAGGCTGAGGCTTGCAGCAGCATCTGAAATGAGACAGTCTAGAAACTGTCCCTGCAGGGCATTTGACCTGACTTCAAGTGGCTGAGTTCAGATTTCCCCTGTAGACTTCTGGCTTGTTAACCTTGTTAGGAAGTGACCATTGGTTAGGAAGAAATGACCATTGGCATTCTCTGGGCAGTTAGCTACTGCTCTTAAGTTCTCCAGTTTATTTTATAGTAAACCCACTTTACATTCTAAGTTCTTCCTTTTTCAGTGTACTGAAT